ACTTTTAAAAACAAAATATTATCCTCTGATGCCTAAAAAAGAAGAGCCTTGCCTATATTTACATGTTATCGCTGATGTACAAAATTATTTCTTTGAAAAAATGTCTGGAAACCAAATACATTTTCCCTATGCCGCCATCTGCACGTGATAGTGCGCGTTAATATTACAGGTGCGCTTGATCTATGGACCGGACGTGTGTGGACGGCGTAAGTCACAGCCTTGAAGAATAAATTATATTTACCAGCAATGTATAAAAAAAAACTTTTAATATATGATTTCTTTATTTAATATACTTACCTGACTTACCCTCGCTGGCTTAGGTGCGTGTCTAGGTACGTTTTAATTTTTATGAGCGGGACCCTAATTCTTTTTCTAAAACTAAAGTAGCCTAATCTATTATTTATAACATCAGCTATCAGCCAGCGAAAATCCCGTCAAAATCAGACCAGCCTTTTCGAATATTAGCCGAAACAGACAGACAAACAAACAAAAAATTTGAAAATGTGTTTTCGTATAAGTACTGTAAAAAATTTCATATGGATTTAGTAAAAAGCATTTAACATTACAAACAGACACTTTAATTGTATTTATCTGTATAGATTTATTAGATAATGACAACATAGCGATATGTAATTATTTAAAGAAAACACTTGATATAGAGACAGCAGTAGCCTAACTAGTATTTAGTACTTCAGACTTATAACGTACAATGTTGTAGAGGTTTGTTTTCTAGCTTTTTATGTAAGGAATCTTTCAAGAAATTTTGCTATCCTTATTTGATAGACGATCTCTATACTGCAAGAAAGATGAAAAAATCAACAAAAATATTTTCGCATATATTACATTAAGTACTAATGCCATAATATTGACGGCACGTTTGGCTCAGTTTGTAGTGATCCTACTTGCTGTGCCGGCGGTCGCGGGTTCGAGTCCCGCTGGATTCATTTGTGTGATGAACACAAATGTATGTACTCCAGTCATGGGTGTTTATATTTATAATATGTAAGTATTTAAAGTTATAATATATGTGTAGTGTATAAACTATCTGGTATCCATAACACAAACTTCGTAGCTTACCATGGAACTAGATGGTGCTGTGTGTCCCAACATATTTATTTATTATTTATATTTATTTTCAAATAATTTTGACAACTTACGTATATGACAAATTTTTTACCGAATTGAAACCAAGTTATTTATTAATATTATTTCAAAAAATTTGATTCTATAGGGATTTAATTAGACGTAAAAAATAAGATATATGTCACAGTTTCTGCCTTATACCACATATGTAGTAGACGCGTTGCGAAAGAACAGCGAAATATTTGTTAAAACAACTCGTCTCGAACGCTTATTGGCGTATGGCGTTGGCGGTGCCCGTGTTGCGTGATTTATACATTTCAATAACTTTATTTTAATGCTACACATGAAGAAATATTTAAATGGCGATCCAAAAGTCATACACTATCTTAAGATAACTTTGTCTACAGTAATATTATAAAGAGGAATATTTGTATTTTTGTACGTTCTCTTTGAATAAAATCAAAAATTTTGAATTGAAATTTGTTAAGAAGATAGTTTGTGACCCTGGAAAGGACAGGATAGTTTTTACCCAGGAAATCATCCCTTAACGGGGTGAAAATGGGGATGAAAGTTTGTATGGGGAATGAACCCAGGGACGAACCAGAGCGAAGCATGAGAGAGTCGCTAACATATAAATACAGTTAGAAGCCTTTATTAAACTTAATATATTAAAGCTATTTGAGTGGCACTGGTAAAAGGCAGCGGCTCGCTCGAATCTTACAATAAAATCTCGAAGTAATTGTGGTAATCAACTAATTAAAGTCATAAATTATCATATAATATACTATCAATAGGTACTTTATTTTTATCTTAAAAATGGGGAGATCTAAAAATATTAATTCAGTTGTTTCTTTATCCATATTTTTGCCGCTTTTATATGAGTTTAGTTTGGTATTGCTAAGATATTTCTCAATATAAACTATATAAAACGTCCATACAAAAACATAAATACTGTCATTTCATACGGGCAATTCAAATATATCTTAAGATTCGTTAAAGCCTTATTAGAAATAAATGAACGAGCAACGCCACGAAAATAAGTTAGTTCGTGAAATAAAATAAAATTTATACCGAAGCCATAGTCGTTTTCAAACGCTAATATCCAAGGTATCGTTTTCGCGTTATCTTTGCAACGCGTTTTTACGATACTTAGCAAAGTTTTTTGCTGTTAACGGCTCGAAGTTTCAATTTTCCTGTCATTAAACGATTCTTAACGGTTCGTGCGAAGAAAAAACTGGAAACAATCTAAAATACGTAGCTTTTAATCGATTGGCAAATTTTGTGACGTCTGTTCTCTACACAAAATACAGACTTATGTTAAATAATGTAAGTTTATTACTGGATAATTAATTCTCACTATGTGACAGATCTATTATTTTTAAATCGATTCATTTGACTAATTTTAATATTTAATACAATAATTTAAACTTTAATTGTATACGTACTGAATTTTGATCTGTTCATCCCTTATACTGCAGAAGGACTGCCTGCATCCTCTCTTCCCACGGCTATCAACTAGCTAGCTTTGTAACTAAATAATCAAACCGTGGTAGTTGATTTGAACATATTCGATTGACGTATCGATTTCAAATGATGCAAATTTAGGTGACAATATAATTATTTGATACAATAAAGCTGATTTGTTGGAATGAAAATGAATAGTAACTCTGTAAATTTTGATTAAGATTTCAAATCATACCAAAAACTATTTTAATTAATTACTATTAATATAATAAAAATTCATTATTAACAAGAATTTACTATTTTTTACTACTATCATGGTCACGAAAGAGACTATGGTAGACATGTTTGCTGTAAATCTTCGAAACATTGGGAACCAAAAACCATAAAGAACTCCCCTGAAAGATCCGAACAGATAAATAAATCTAAGAAAATATTGTTTTACCAAAAAAGTGAAGTAAGTAGTGGAGAATACTATCAGTCCATTAGAAAAATTACGTTACCTAAAGCTAGGTGCACAACACACGTGAGTAATAATAGTGCATTAACACCTCGTATCAAAGCGTCTTTGAAGTCACTGATGTAATCTCGCTCTTATATTCTCTAAGTACTGCGCCGAGCTTGACACGTACTCTACTAAATACTATACCTGATTTATTAATTTAAGCAACTTTCAGTTTATAATTTTACTATCACAATATTTAACACTTAAACTGGCTATCTAGCAAAAAAGTAATTAGGACAAAATACACTCCTTAGTTTTATATTTATTATGAAGTACATTATATATAAGTTGATATTATTTTTAACTTATACTTAAATAAAAAAAAGTAAATCAAAAAAAAATATGTATTTCTAATTAGTAATTACTCCTAACGCTCATAATTCTCTATCGGTTATAAAATTTACATAGACGAATGCAAGATGCCACAAAAACTTGTTTGGAATATTAAACTATTTCGTTGTATTGAAGGTTAAAATTGATATCATATTATTTACTCATCGCCAAAACAAATTTGAATGAACAAATTTTTGTATTGAGGATCTAACAACACTACCTGATTCGAATAATTATTGGGATAAATCCTATTATTAATATTATAAATGCGAAAGTTTCGATGGATGTATGTTTGTTTCTCAATCACGCCAGAACGGCTAAACGGATCTGGATGAAATTTGGCATAAAGATAAATTATAGTCTGGAATATCATATAAATTATTTTTTATATCGGAAAATGTACAGTTCCTTAGAGATAGATTTGTTTTTGTCTAGGGAAGAACCCGAAGAGAAGAGAGGTTGAGTTTTTCACAGAGCAAGGTACTAACCGTTAAAACGTACTTAGGAATGAACCCGAGTGAAGCGAGGGTGGATCGCTAATATTGAATATATATTATAATACATCATGGCACATAGTATCACTACATAGTATAAAACAAAGTCGCTTTCTCTGTCCCTATATCCCTATGTATGCTTAAATCTTTAAAACGCATCGGATTTTGATGCGGTTTATTTTAATAGATAGAGTGATTCATGAGGAAGGTTTTAGTATATAATTTGTTAAGTTCTTGTATACATTGGCTAAAATATAACGATATTTGTTGGAGGTGTCGGTAAAAATAAGACGTCTGGGAGCTTTCAACGAAAATACTGCCTAAACCCTTTGAGATATAACAAAATAATGTATGGTGGAATTGTGTATCTTATATAGGTCTACAGAAAAGTCCACGATGGCCTATGTCTATCTCTTAAGGATAACATACTATATCCATTTTAATTTAAAACGTACCTAGTAATCAATCGCTAGTAATAAATTATTATAAGTTTTCTTTAAACTAAAAAGACATTTCTACTCGATTTGTAAACTGTAGTAGAGCATACTTTTGCAATTCACACAGATCTATTTCCACAATGCGACTCCTTTTTCTGTCTTTTGTGCCGTTTCCTTTGATTAACTTTGATGTAGGTGAGTACACTAATGGATTGTTGCTCTCAAAGGCTTCACCTGAATGTGTTGTCTTCATGTTGGTTAGAATCATGCTTTGTATTGTGCTAAGTAAAATTAGACCCTTTTTTGTCTAGAAGTATTGATGTAGGTTTACTTATATAAATATATGTCGAAGCGCTAATATAAATGATTTTTGTAAAATTAATTTGCTAAAACCTGCATGCTTATAAACTCGTTTTATAATTTACCTTACCTGCTTTACCTATAGTATTTGCTGTTCAGGGATTTTTTAGGATATCACCTAAAACAATATTCATGTATAAAAAAGATAAAATAGAAAAATGTCAAGTCAATGTACATAAATATTGATCATGTTCTGATATCGAATCCCTGATCTCCTTTCAGTTCGGTTAAAAAAATTAAACAAAATATTGGGATCCAAAAAACATATATAATAGCCTAACTTCATGCGAGTCCAACAAGAGTTAACAATCTAGACTAGATCTATTACGCCTTAGGGAGATGAGCGCCTTGAGGCTGGAAGCCTTTTTCGTTGGAGATGTACTTGACTTCGTATAAGACGCCATCGTTGCCGACGTAAGAGAAAACACCACGTACTTCAATAGCTTCCGTTTCAGTGCCTGGGTTCTTAAGGACAGCCTCCTCTGAAGCGGACTTGCCGTCGCTGGACACATATCTGTTGATAGAGAAAAATATTGAAATTAATAATTAATGTAATTTTTTGCTTGAGGCTCTATATGGTAAGCCGGTAATTGACTCATTTAATCCCATGTTTTAACAGGTATAATTTTGTATAAAAAATATTGAGTTCTAACAAAGAAATTCGTTACAGGTTAATCGTTAAAACAGCGATTTTTCTCAAGCCTTGAAGCATAAGAAAGTTTATTTTAAATAACTTTACTCGTAGGAAAGGATTATAGGATAATTTCTAAAAGCTATTAGTTACTATATTATCAACTTTTTTTTCAGAAATTATTATCATTTAAATCTGCAATTACTGTTTATATAATACATACATATAATAAAATTGTAACTAAGCCAATTCTTTACATTAAATATTTTTTGGGAAATCTTATTGTAATAGACATTATTATCGATACCAGTTTTTAGAATTTTTGTCTGTCTGTATGTCTGTCTGCGACCTCATCACGAAAAAACGACTGAAGGGATTTTGATGAAATTTGGTATAATGATAGCTGGTTATCCGGGTCAACATATAGGATACTTTTTACTGCGAGTAAATATCTCATGTCTGAGAAATCTATACTAAACGTTAAAAGCAGGGACGAACCCGAGCGGAGCGAGGATGAGTCGCTAGTTACTAAATAAATAACTATCAGTGGAAACTTAGCTGATGTACGTATTTTTATATATTAGTATCTTATAAGTACCATCTCATTGTTTGTTTCCCTAATAAATAATAAATAAATAAATAACTTGTTAGGTAAGTAATCATAATTATATAACTTCGCTAAAACAATAGAGCCTTCATGAGCTACAATCGAGAGTGTACCAAATCACGGCTTCACTTTGAAGAGAAAACAAAACCGTTTCACTTATACTATCATTGATTGACAAGAAATTACACTACTGTAATGAAAATGAAAGTTTGTATGTGTGTGCATGTTTGTTACTCCTTTACGTTGTAACGGCTGGACGGAATACGATTGTTATTTATATTTCATAGTTATTGTTCGTAATAATATTTGCCAAATTGAATCGCAAAGATATCTAATATTAGTGCCTTTAACAAAAACCTTAATTCTTACTTGTAATTGTATCCATTGACGCCAATGTTGTCAAACTCTTGACTCGTGATGACAGCTGATTTGGAGTCTACTGGGATTGTGGCGGCGGAGGCCACAGCCACGCACAGAGCGAATACGATGAACTGTAAAATATAAACAACATCGAAACTATTTATTTCAATTAACTAACATTTTTACCGTAAATACTTTGTTATTTGACAAATTCCTTTTGTATTTCTTGTTCTTTTTTTGAAGAAATAAATCATGAAAGTGTCCAATTTAAATAAATCAATATTAAAAAAAACATTTTTGAAAACAATCTTTTATATCATATAAATTGTGTAATGTAATAAATGGGTTTCATTTAATTTAAAGTAAAATTTTTATTTAGGTATTTATTTAGATATTTTTTACCCACGACGGAACGGACACGGTTTATGCGTTTGGGGTGCGAGGATGTTTGTTTGTTTGTTTGCTTGTGCAAATACATGTTGCCATTTTTCTTCAAAACTGACTAGTCCGATGTTGATGCAGTTTTCAGTTATGGGTTTGGGTTTGATTGGTGCATGTCCTTAGATAGGTGTTACGGTTACAACTCATCAAGGGGCGCTGCAGTAAACATTTGTTTGTGCAAAACCAAAACTACTAGTCCGGTTTTGATGCAGTTTGTGGTTGATTAGGGAGGGTTCTTAAATAGATGTTACGGTAGTAACACACTAGAGGGCGTTGCAGTAATATATTTTATATTAGCTACTACATATTAAAGACATTTATGTCCAAAAACTACTAGTCCAATTTTGATGCAGTTTTCAGTAATGGGTTTGTAATTGATTAGTGAGGGTTCTTAATTATTTGCAAATACTGATCTAATGTACATACCACTAGCCATCACTATTTAAAACTTTAATCATAAATAAAAATAAGTATCATAATCAACTTCTAAAGGTCCCTGTAGGGTAAACTGTAGGGGCAACGTGCGTTCACCTTGTCGTGGTGGGGGGGCTCAGTAGTGCCCGGCAATCCAACCGGACGCGAAGCTAAGAAACGCACAGGGAGGTTGCCCACTTCGGTGGGCGGTGGGAGGCGGCCCTCTTCGGGGGGCGGTGTACCTTGCGGGTTGCTCCTGGTACTTCTCTGATAGCAGAGTGGACCTTGGAGCAACCCCATGGTTGTGGTGGTCTGCTTTGGCAGACCTGCCGTCGGGGCGTCGTAGTTGAATGCGTAAGCGATCCTGCGACGCCCCATTAAGACGGGGGAAGGTTTTGTTGGGTTTTAGTGGGTAGTACTGGCTGTATTACGCCGGTGAGTCCCACACGTCGTGCGTAAATGCATTTCCCAATGTTAAAAAAAAAAAGGGGTAAACTGTAGGGGCACGGCCTACCCATTAAGGTTGTAAGTATAGCGCTAAAAATCTCCAAATATTCACGTTACTATAATGCTGCAAAACTAGTTCATTTAATGGCAGCTCCGGACGGATATTCTTGGTTTTTTTTTAATTAAGTTTATAGGTAGTTGAATGTTATTGCTACTTCTACAATCATCGAGAACCAAATAGGTAGGTACGTAGGAAAATGCTATGAAAATTGATACTCTAATGCTTACATATATGGCCGACTCCGCGAGAGATCAGCTCTACTTATTAAATCTTTTTACATTTATTATCTCGCGTTACATTTAATTTTTATGTCGGGTTTTTTTTTAATTATTTTATCCTTTTTTAATTACTTTTTAACCCTCGTAGGTTTTTTTCAATTTTTTTATTTTGTTTTTTATTCAGAAAACCTTTTCATTTGATATCCATATCATGGGGGTGCTTAGAAAAACATAGTCCGCCATCTTTGGGAGTCCGCCATATTGGATTTAAAATGACGTCCCTTATCTATTCATGCATTGTCATCCAAACTAAACGTGTATGCAAAAAGTTGAGGATAACTGGTTTAAAATTTAGTTACAAGATTTGACTCGAACAAACATACATACAAACATTGCAAATTAAATAAAAGCTTGTAAAAAGGTTCAACAAAGCTAATAAAATTATTATAAATATAATATTCGATGCACAATATAAAATTTTACATTACTTATGATATATTTTTTTATTTCATTTAGATTTAGGTATTTCCTTCTCTGTCATACAGAAGGAAGATATAAAATGAATCTTATTATAGACTATAAATAATCAAGTCCCATCAGTTGAGATATTTTTGAAACTGAGTTATAATATTAGTAATTCATAACACCATACAAATTTTAGGGAATTACCCAATAAATTCGAATTGTAACAAAAAATGTAAATTATTTCTGCGAAAGAATTGCAATACATGATATTTAATTCGATTTCAAATCAATAGGTCAATGGTAAAAAACTCACGGATTTCATTTTAGCGGTTAGATTTGTGTGCTTTGTGCCTCGAAGTCCGTTAGAGGATGTGCTAAAGACTGTGATTAGAATTAAGATTTTGCCATTTTATATACCTCTTCGTGATGGCTAGTTTGCATATTGAATGCCTTTGAGCATTTGAGGAGAGATGCATTCTTGTTTTAGGATTCATTTTGCAACCTGACTATGGAACATAGGTCTGATTTTTTGTATAATAATTAATAGGTAAATGTATAAATTAAATCGCTAATATATATTATAGGGCCATCATATACCCTCTAGAACTTGATAAGTTTCTAAATCTATTTAGTACAAATAAACGTAACCCAGCTTAGACTGGAATAAGGTAAAAAGGTAAAAATATTTCAATTACCTAATTAATTTTTATACAATATTACTTACACAATTGGCCCTAAAGAAATATATTCAGAATAACAAAACAATACTTGTTTATAACAATTCTTAACCTGCGTTATTTAATAGCAAACATACATTTTTTGTGTACGTTTTTTATCGTTCTGTTTTGCATTTCTAACAACCTGATAATGCTTTAAAGAAATAAAAGCTGTTTATAAGTAATTTAATTTTATTTTTAATTTGAAAATAGAATAATTATCTATACCAAGACTATAAAACAATAAAGTTTGTAAGTTTATATGTAACGGTCAAACTAGAAAATAATCGCCATAATCAGATTGGTATCTGTTTTTTGTTCATATTGTATTAATGTATGTACCCGTTTATTTAACGTTAGGAAATGCTTTTATGAATACCACCTCCATACATACAGGTGGTTACGTAGGACTCTTCACTCTATATTCGAAGACCCAACAGACCAATCCTCGTCTTAATGAGGTATCGCAAGATCACTTCGCACTGAACTACAACGCCCCGACGCGACGCGACGGCGGCCTGCCGAAGTAGACCTGTCAAGGGGCTACTTCTACAGTCCACTCTGCTATCAGAGAAGTACCAAGGTCCAAGGCATGGTGTACCATAAAGTGGGACCGCTCCCACTGAATCTCTTGGCTTCGCACCCGGCTGGATGGTCGTTAATAAGCCACCTGAACATAACAGACACATCGAGGGGGAAGCAGGTACCCTATCCCATACTTATATAGGCTATTTTATGTGTCGATGGGTGTGTCAGGTGGATAATTAGCACAATGGAATAATAGCAGAAGCACATACGGGTGGTTTTTAGAGTGATTATGTGAAATTAGCCGGAAATGTTGTCTTCAAAGTAGCGACAATTAATTATATGCATTTATTTTTATTTAAACCTCAACCACAAAGTTTTAAGTCCGTGCGATAGTTTTTTTTTATATTCAATTAACAGCAACAAGGTACGACTATTTTCGATGTTTATTAATTAATTAGTTTATATAGATAATATGAAACTACAAATAAAAATATCGATGCACTGAGTATAATGTCCTCCCGACTGATTCCCACCACAGTCGTCAATCTCATTGAGACTAGCCATCTGCGCAGGAGATATTATAAAGCAGCGCGTGTGACAGAGAGCGCAGACACAAGTGCACTCTCTATTCCTGTCACTCTCATACTCCGGTGGGACGACTGCTCGACACGACCAGTGAGAGTTAAGGCGCAGGACCGTCGGCTTTACGTGCTCTCCGAGGCACGGGGGTGAAACACCGCCAACTTCCCAAGGCCAGGCTGTTACTGTGACTTCCTTAGCAGAAAGACTCAATAACTAAACCTCTAGATGTGCTAGAAAATAGTTAGATTTTTATTATGTAATATCTTTTGTAATTTTTTTGTTCACATTTTTCTTTTGCTATAAATTTTACTCATTCTCTTTTTTTTCATTACCCTTTCTTAAAGAACGATTTAATATATAAAATAAAATATTGTAATTTGATTTTTTTATATTAAATTGAACAGACAGACAAAATATACTAAAAATGCTTATTGTGACAATTAATAAAATTTTAAAATATGATTTATTAAAATTAAAATGTTTTTGTACTTAAAATATTTGCAAACTATTAGAAAAATCCTAAAAAGTAGAAAGTGCAGAGTATATAGAGTAGTTATGTAATATTAGACAGTCTTTATTAGCGTTCCGACCTTGGCATTCACTTTCGCGTTAGGTCTGTGGAGCACCGCGCTCGATACGATCGTTTGCATATCCAAATCTGCATCTTATAATATTACAATAATATTTTCATTATTATTTTCTTTACATTTATCAATTGCGCTTATTATTGTGTAAACTAATACTGCAAAATTATATTTTAAAAGTTTAATCGGTCAGTGGACTTAGTTATGGTCTTCCTCTTCATCTTGCTTGCAGCCGTATATGCTAAACACTATACCACCGAAGCAGTGGTTCTCTTGTATAATATACTATTAAAATCTTCGAGGCTTACCAATTTTTTTTTTTGACAATTTATATACGAATACGAGTATATTACAATAGGTCAAGGAAAGCTTTTTTTTAGTTTTTTTTTTAAACTATAATTATTTACATGAACTAACCGTCAAAGCTCACGATAACATGTTAATATCTATCACGTTATAAAAAGAAAACCCATCCAGGAAAAATAATAATAATCGGAACACTGAAAAGGACTGCCCCGTGTAGTGTAGCTTATATTGAAAAAAAGAAAGCTAAAAATAAAGAAAGTTTCCATTTTTATTATTCTCTCAACATATTTTTTTTTTTTTTTTTTTTTTTTTTTTTTTTATTTATTCAGGTAAAAACAGTCGTAAACAAAAAATCTAAAACAGTAAGGATACAATTAGACCTATATTACCCTAAATTATTACAAATGAACTGATTTGTCATCAAAAGTGACGGATGCTAAATAAGTATGTTTACCAAAATAAGTGAAACTAAATTAAATAAAAAAAAAATATTAAATAAAACTAAATTGAAGCTACTAAAAAAGAAACAAAAATACATATGTCTTATACAATATTTAGAAATAAATAAGTTTATACAAAATTTCCGAAAAACTAAAACATTGATTGGTTTGTACCTACTGGCAAAATATAGAAAGCAATTATAGTAATAGTAACAAATAAATTTTAATAATATTATCATAGTACAAACTATAAACAATAAAAGCCCATAGTTAGAATATTATACGAAACACTTGCTTTTTATACATACTTAGTTTACACGAAAAAATATCAACAACAGTTAAATTATTATTATAGAATGAACAAGAACGCCTGAGAAAGGTATTTTTTGCATACCTAGTATGATATGAAGGTATATGAAATGTATCTTTGGAACGAGAGGAAGAGGAGCGGGGAATTTTGAAAGAGATGAGGTTTAATAAATCTGTGGAGTTTACATAGTTATTAACAATTTTGTATAAGTATATGGTATCTAAATAATTACGCCTGGAGTGCAAAAGCTGCATATTATGTCTTGTCAAACTCTCCTCGTAGTTGGTATAATAAAAACCAGTACGATAGTCCAGAGACTTCACGAACTTCCGTTGCACTTTTTCAATTCTTTGGATGTGTACCATATATTGAGGACTCCATACAATACTTCCGAATTCGAGAATGCTTCTCACATACGCGTTATATAGTATTTTTAGTGTATTACCTCGAGTAAAAGGTTCGCTTAGACGGAGGATTAATCCTAAACGCTTAAAAGCTTTAGCTACAATTTTGTCAACATGAAGGTTAAAGTGCAGTTTGCAGTCTAGCGTGACACCAAGGTCACGAACTTCGGTTACTCTGTTCAGAGTATTTCCTAGTAATTTGTATTTATAAATATGGGGCTGATGTTTTCTAGAAAAAGTTATTACGCAGCATTTATCAACATTAAGGAACAAATGATTATTATTACAATATTGCTCAAATTGATATAAATCTTGCTGTAACTCAAGACAATCATCATCACAACGGACAATTTTATAAATCTTGGTATCATCAGCGTATAACAAATGATGAGAGTTTCTAATGCAAGAGTTCATATCATTTATATATAAAGTAAATAAAAACGGCCCTAAATGAGAGCCTTGAGGGATTCCAGACGAGATTTCCACAAAATTAGAGACATACCCCTTGAGTGCAACAGCTTGGCTACGGTTGTTTATATATGAACATACCCATCTAAGAAGATCGCCGTGTATACCAATTCTCGAAAGCTTCCTTATTAAAACAGAATGATTAATCTTATCGAACGCTTTCGAGAAGTCAGTATACACTGCATCAACCTGATGACCTACATCAAGAGCATTAAGCAAAAAGTCAGTGTACATCACAAGATTTGAATTTACACCACGACCACGATAAAATCCATGTTGTTCGGGAGCTATTACATGATACAAGTGAGAGGTAAGTATATTAGTTATAATTTTTTCAAAAATTTTACCAAAAATGTTTAACTTTGATATGGGTCTATATTGCTTTACGTCGTGTATATCACCCCCTTTAGGAATGGGGGTGATGATAGCTTTTTTCCATATACTCGGGAAACAGCCTTCAGTTATGGACTTATTGTAAATAATAGTAAGTGGAGTTGAAAGCTCTTTACAAAGTTTTTTTATTAAAACTGGGTGAATACCATCATGACCGGCACCTTTATTTACATTAACTTGCTCAAAGTGCTTTAAGACAACTTCACGTTGAATATCAACAGTCGATATATTAACTGAAGACATATTGACCTCGTCATCAACGGCAATGTGGCTGTTAATTGTGTCAGTTTGAGGGACAAAAACTGACTTAAAATATTCGTTAAACATGTTAGTGATTGTTTCTAGGTTATTGGAAGATACATTATTAAATTTCATTTCGGCAGGAATATTATTGGAGCCAAATTTAGATTTGACAAATGACCAAAAATATTTTGGGAAGGTTGAAATCTTATCTTCAGAGAAAATTATATATCGTTCGTAGCATTCACGTTCAACTCGTTTTTCTCGAGAACGTAAGGCAGAGTACAACTGATAATCTCGGTCATTTCGGTATTTTTTTCCATTTAGAATGCTTATTCATTTTTTGTCGTATTAATTTTATAAGATTACGGGAGTACCAAGGAGGGTAATTAGAATGTGATTTAACAGGTTTTTTTGGAATATACACGTCGATTAAATTCTGTAAAATATTATAAAAGTAACTGACGGATTCTTCGGTATTTAAGGTGGCTAGATCAGCAATCCAATTGACTCGCGATATTTCTTTGCCAATCGCTTTAAAATCAGCCGCATGATAAATTAGTTTGAGACGCGTTTTTACGTTTTGTATAAAAGCATGCGTTTGTAGATTGAGAGTTATATCTAAAGATTTATGATGCGCATCCTCTGGGGTTAACGGTGTGGTAGAATTGGACACAGTGCACTTATCGCTACTAAGTACTAAGTCTAAAACTCGTCCGTTGCTATTTACACAGCCATTGTATTGCCTAAAATTGGATAAATTCATAAAATCGCACAAGTCCCCCGCTAAGCCGTCGCTATTTGTACTTAGTTTAAATGATTGAGTCGAATCGTTAAAGCTATCCCAACTAGCGTTAGAAATATTGAAATCTCCAAGTATTAGAAAATTATCATTTAGATTATTTTGCAAAATGTCAAATGTGTTGTCGTAAAAGTTTTGTAAAGATTCAGAATGATTGTTACCGTGCGGGAAGTAACAGCAAGCTACATGCAAGTTGGAGGAAGCGTTAGCGGCGCGACAGGGTCGGGGCGCGGGGCGGGAGGGGCGCGCGGCCCCCACCGCAGCGGTCGTGGCGGCGTCAAGCTCGAGCGTCACCCATAGCTCCTCGGCGGCGGGCCTCGAGCGCCACTCGGGCCGGGGCCGCGCGCGCAGTTCGCGTCGTGCCGCTATGAGCACGCCGCCGCCCCGCGCGCCCTGCCCGTCTGTGGATTTCCTATCTTGCCTAAAAACAATGTATTTGGTATGGAAGTATTCTGCATCGTGATAATCCGGAGTTAGCCAGGTTTCGGTCAAGACAATTAAATCGTAGTCGCTCTGTAGAACATTAGCTAAGAAAGAGTGTGATTTAGTGCGTAATCCTCTTACGTTCTGGTAGTAAATTGATAAGGAATTAAACGAAATCAGATTGAATATATAAAATATACAAACAAGACAATTATGATATATAAATAAATTATTATATAAAAAAAATAATAATATTGTGATAAATTCTGAGGTATTGTAAAGTACCTTTCTCGGGCTTGTATCGTTAAAATCTATAAAAAAGAACATAAAGGACAAAAATATAAAACAATATGATTGGCAGTATGTAATACCAATTAGTATTTCTTTATAGTTGTTGATAAAATTCGTGGGTACAATATATACAAATAACTGGTGTATGTGAGTGATTTTTGTTGTATCTATTGCTATTGATAAGTGCATGTATTTCTGCATAATGAATATCAGATAATAATGAAATAAATTAATAACAAAGACGTTATGCGTTCGGAGTAAACATAAGAAGCTTATTTTAGAACAATGCGTAAAACATAAGGGAAAAAGAAAAAATAACATTATAAATATTAATAAATCGACGAACAACGATGACACAAATAGTCATTTAATTTTAAGTAGGTCACTCTCGCACGAAATACGTATGATATTAGAATTATCATTTTTACGAATAAGTATCTTGCTGTCTTTAACCCACAAGTATGAATAGTTTTTTTCGAGTTTAAGTTCGCGTGCTCGCTTTAGTAGTAGTTTGTTCGTTGGAGTGAGGTGATCACCAATGTACACGGTGCTCGCCGGGCCGGGCAGTCCGATGTGTGCGGTGGTGAGGCCGCGGCGCGCGCGCGCACGGCTGCGATCAGCTGATCCTTGCGCCGCCGCTGGCAAAACCGCACTATAATAGACGCCGGCCGAGTAGGTTCATTGTTGCTTTCCGTCCTACTCGATGGGTATGGACGAACTCGATGTATAGAATCGATATCATGATCGCTCAGTTGAAAACCCACAGTTGCGCATAAGTCATTTAATATTGTATAGACGTTTTCACCTTTCTTTGTCGGTATACCGGAAATTTCTATGTTGTTCTGTCGCGAATATTGATCGTGTGAATTATTTTGCGCTTTTAATTCAGCTATAGTTTTTTGTGTCGATAATAAGTCTTTTTGCACAATGGATAACGTAGATAGTTTTTGCTCTGAAGAGGTCAATCTACGATCGAATTCAATAAATCGACCTTCCATTGTGTCAAGTTTGCTGCTCAATTCTTTTATATGTTGCATGGTGCATTGAATATCAGATTTTATGTTAGTAAATTCTACCTTCATCGTGCTAAAATCGTTACGAAAACTTTTTATCTCTTTTAACACGTCTGACAAAGAGGGGTGTGTCTCCGTGAGTTGAGGTGAACGGCAAGTAATGCACCGCCAGCCGGCTTTTTTTTCCACTCCCATTTTTCTGTAGCTAAGCTCCGAAACCCCGGCACAAACATAGTGGTACTGTCCACCGCACTTATTGCACAACACAAAATCCTCAACAACATCGTTGCACTTTGGGCAGATCATATTATTAAACTTTAAAGTTCAAAAAACAAATATATTAATAATTTGTAATTTGTAAGTAGGTAAATGTAAATAAACTAAGGAGCTGATTTATTGCATCCGTCACTTACGAGAGCGACAACCGGACTCCTATATCATATCTTATAGAAATGTCAAAGAGTTAAAACATATTAGAGAATACAGTCAGTCTTTAAATGTACAGGTTGTTTGAGATAACGTAATACTTAGTATTTACTAATAGGTTGGGGTCATACGATTCGATTGTAAGTCCAAATAGAATATCGTACGTAACCCTTGTACGCTTCACATTACGTCACAAGTAAGTGTGCCGTGAGGTCTCCACCATACAATACATATTGGTATTAATATATACATACTAATGTTCTCTCAGATGTATAAATAGAATTCACATATCTATGTATACAAAAGAACAAACTTATTCCTGTACTAGCATTTCCCGCGGCTCCGCCCGCGTTCAGATGTCCAGAAACTAAATTGTTAGTTTTTACATATTAGTATACTCTTACATTGCAGTTTTTGTATTTTTTTTCAGACATGAGATATTTTCCCACAGTAAAAAGTATCCTATATGTTGACCCTTTTTTTTTTTTTTTTAACGTTGGGAAATGCATTTACGCACGACGTGTGGGACTCACCGGTGTAATACAGCCAGTACTACCCACTAAAACCCAACAAAACCTTCCCCCGTCTTAATGGGGCGTCGCAGGATCGCTTACGCATTCAACTACGACGCCCCGACGGCAGGTCTGCCGAAGCAGACCACCACAACCATGGGGTTGCTCCACAGTCCACTCTGCTATCAGAGAAGTACCAGGAGCAACCCGCATGGTGTACCGCCCCCCGAAGAGGGCCACCTCCCACCGCCCACCGAAGTGGGCAACCTCCCTGTGCGTTTCTTAGCTTCGCGCCCGGTTGGATTGCCGGGCACTACTGAGCCCCCCCACCACGACAAGGTGAACGCACGTTGGGGGGGATCCTATATGTTGACCCGGATAACCAGCTATCACCATACCAAATTTCATCAAAATCCCTCCAGTGGTTTTTCTGTGATGCGATAACAGACAGACAGACAAAAATTCTAAAAACTATAGATTCGGCTATTTCAATAGGATTTTCCAAAAAATACCTAATGTACAGACAGAGTATATATTTTATTTATATTATACTTTATGACGTATACTGCAAAAAAAGTGCAGTACAATGCCGTGTTAACCCAGTCTGAGTCGCTAGCATATATGTATATAAAAGGCTTTGTCGTGACTGATGGATCTACGGACAACCTAACGCTTATTTTTGTAAATACTAAAGTATCTATTGCGTAAAATTTTTATTTTAGTGTGTAAATATATTACTCAAAACAACACTATATTTGGCACTCTCTTGATCTCTTGATGCGCGAGTCAAAATCATGCTCACACTTTTGAAAATCACTACAGCCGTCAAATTATAAATATTAAATAAATAAAAATAAATAAAAATAGCCTTTATTAACTTACTACTTTCGTTAATATTTTTCCTTCTTTTGACCACAACTACTTATACAAATCTTTGGGACTTTCTGTATGTGTATTTATAAAAATATGCTTAGTCTGTTTACTTACCTATATGACTATCTATATATCTACATAACTATACGTATACTAACTTTTTAAATCTTTAAATCTTTATTTCTCTATCTATATGTGTATATAACATAGTTATAAATTAAAAATTTTAAAAGCCCTCTACGCAAATTAATTGTCATTTAACGATTACACTGGCACGCGTGAAGCACTTAATCGAGTAATCATACGCCAAAATGCCTTACATCATATTGGAAAAGAGTTGATACTGTTACACTGCTGGACCGATAGTAGCCAAATATAGCTAAGAACTACCACAAGGCAACTGGCTTTCAAATGAAACAAACCGCATCGAAATCGGTCCATCTCTTTGAGAGCTACGATGCCACATACAGACACACACACACACACACCTCTTTTTGCATCGGGGGTTAATGAAATAATCCTACTAATATTATAAACGATAAAGTTTGTAAGAATAATATGTATGGATGTATGTTTGTTACTCTTTCACGCAAAAACTACTGAATGGATTTTGATGAAACTTTGCAATAATACTGCTCATATAAAAACACATAGGTTACTTTTTATCTCGGCAAAAAGTACGGTTCCCGTGGCTTAGATTTGTTTTTGTTTATTCTAGAGGCGAACCCGAGCGAAGCGGGGGTGAGCCGCTAGTAATTAGTATATGTTAGTAAATTACAAATATTAGTTATAACATAAAGCCAAAGACTTTTTTTGTAGTTTGAACGCGGGCGGAGCCGCGGGCTCGAGTAATTAATATTTAAAAAAAAACTGTTCATTTGGCATTCATTTTCAATGTACCCGAAGGTCGTGGCAGACACAACATCTGTGGATTTTTTCATATTCCTTTTTTTATAATTTATTATATATATATATATATATATATATATATATATATATATATATAATAACTCTCCGACGGAACTCGGAACGCCTGTGAACCTTCCACGGAACCCTACGACGGTTCCCCGGACCTCCATTTGGGAGGGTCCTTCAACAGGACTAGGTTTTCACAGATTAAACGTACGCCACACAGGGTATCCTACTGCGTCTCGGCACTCAATTCCCATTGTTTTATTACTCTAGTCTTAGTTTAAAGAGTATATTTGTATCCATTTCTTGATTACCAATTAAATAAATAAATAAATATAAATTATGTATAAAGTAATATGATAAATAGAACCAAGAATTTTTCCTTTATAAAATGTATTTGCTTCTATTATAATTATTATTTCTTTTGAACATAATGAGGACGATTCAATAAAAACTGAATCATTTATCACAATAATATAAATGTGGCATCACATAAAAGATGTAACCTAGATAAAAATACATTTACATACAGTCAATAGTGTGTTGTGAACCTTAGATAATTAAAATATATTTTTTTTTATTTAAAAAACTTTTGTTTTTTGCTCCACCTTATTTACTTGTATAAATAAGAATATAACATTTAAAATAGGTAAATCTCGCGACAAGCTTTTATATCATATAAATTGTGTAATGTTATAAATTGTTGGATTTAATTTAAAGTTTATTTTCTTCTTTTTAGAGCATTTAAATAAAAGCTTGTTTTTTTAAATATTTTTTTACTATTAATTTATTATATTGTAATAGACTGGTAAAAACTAGCCAAGTCAAATCTTGAACTTCAATTTACCCTAAGTTATCTACTCTGTATAAATAATTCGACTGTTCAAATTTAAGAAGTTCTATTTTTAAATAGCAAACAATTTTGTAATAGAAAAAAAAACCCAGAAATTGTGTTTAAATTTATTTTAGAATGTTGTATGTTCTTATGAAAAAAAATCAGGATTATATACAGAATTTGGCACCCATTTAGATCTCAATTCTTTTGTCGGTGAAGTTGACAACCATGCATATTCTTAATATTAAACTTGGCTCCCATTTTCACATTAATGTTTTTGATGGGATATCATGAATTTTTCTAAAGAAACTATTATTATTCATAATTTCAAAGTGAGATGTAAATTCATTCTTTTTTTCATAATTTTGCGACTATTTCTGCTGAGAAACCGAACCTTTTCTGCTGAGAAACAAAAAGTTTTTGCTATCCCTATGATTGCTCTTGCTATTATATTTCAAAAGGCACTAGGTGTTAAGCTATTGCTGTTTTGTTTTGGAAGGCGCAAGGTGTTAACAAAAAAATTTTTTTTTTCAAATTTTAAAAATTTCTGTTTTCATATTTTCCCTTTGTGCAGACGATTAGCCATCTCCACATTAAATTTCAATTTTCTAGATCATCAGGAAGTGGGTTAGGTTTTACTATTATATGTCAGTCAGTGATAAAAATGCCGATTTTTAGACGTTAATATCTCAATAACACTTTGAGCCGTATTTATGAAATTGGGAATTCTAGTTAATCTAAGGGGATTTAATAAATGAACCAAATTTCACAAATTTATTTTAAATATATTTTGAGTTACTACGAGATGAAAAGTGGCTCCAAATGGTTCGTGTAAATATACACACTGTGCTGCGTCGCCAGTTCCTTTGGCTTGAACTGGGCTGGTCAGGCTACCGCGTGTCTTGACGTATAGCAATGAACAAATTCTAAAGAATTTAGCCATCAATGGTGACTTTTTCATGAATAAATTAAAGTTAAAAAAAAGATTTGATATTTCTTTTTAATAAAACTCATTTATTATGTTAGCTCTTAATTTAATCGCATTACACTGGTAGCCCGGTGGTAGCGTTCTCGCTTGGGAAACTTTGTGACACGTGTTCAAGATCCGGGTTTCGCACATCTCATATTTTCATGTACAAATCATTTACAACATGATTACAACTTGTCTCACGGTGAAAGAAAACATCGTGAGGAAACCTGGATGTCTGAGAGAACCTAGCAAGTTTTCAAAAGACTTGTGCAATCCGCCAACCCGCACTTGGCCAGCATGGACCAGACTATGGTCTGATCCCCCTTATATTAAAGGGAGGCCCGTGCTCAGCAGTGGGACATTAAGAAGGGCTGAATACAATGGCACTGCCATAGCGAATTAAGTTTTTATGACATTTTATTGTTGACAGAAAAGTAAAATAACTAAGTTAACTGTTTGTTTTGGTAATTGGTATGACAATATTTTCTTTATATAGACTGTAATATTTTCTTTCAGTTTAAAATTGCTTTTGTGTATCATCAGAATTCAGAACCCAAGTGACCTCTATGCTTCTCATTAACATCAATAGATTTAAATAAAGGTGATTTTTTTTAATAATCTTTATTGCTTCTGAATTAAGCCTATATTAATATTTTTAATGTAATTTGTTTTTGATTCAGAAAATAATTATTAAAAAGTACAAAAATATGTGGGAAATTCTAAGTAGTTGAAACGCAACGACATTGGTCAGGTTATCTCTACATATAATAAAATTGTAACTAAGTCGAATCTGTACATTAAAATTTTTTTAGAAAAAGTAATTGAAATAGACTTGATTATCGATACAGAGTCCGAATCTATAGTTTTTAGAATTTTTGTGTCTGTCTGTCTGCCTGTTACCGCATCACGAGAAAACCACTCGACAGATTTTGATGAAATTTGGTATGATGATAGCTGGTTATCTGGGTCTACATATAGGATATACATAAGGACTTTTTACCGCGGGAAAATATCTCATTTCTGAGAAGAAATACAAAAATTGAATTGTAAGAGTACACTAATATGTAAAACCTAAGAATTTGGTTTTTGGTCATCTGAACGCGGGCGGAGCCGCGATCAATGCTAGTGACCTATATTCATGACACGTGTCAAAGTATATCATAACAGAGCGATTAGCGACTTTGTCGCTTACAAATTGAGTTATCATTTCTTTGTGTATATCATACTGTGACGTCACGCCAAGCGCCTGAAATGGCGAACGTTTAAAGTATCTATATCGGTACGATATTTAAAAAAAATATACTAAATTTTAGCTTTTTGGAGCTGTTTTTTTTTCAATTATATAAAGATATAAGATATTGTATAAAAAGTAAAAAAAAATCATGCGTATCCCCTATTCAGCTTTGGTTAGACTAGAATGAGATCGAAAGACATGAATATCGAAAAAAACTTTTATATTTTATAAAATAAGTAAGCTAAAAGAAATAATTAACAAAAATACATTAAAATTAAATATTTTTCGCATAAAGGAATATTTTTTAAGTGATGCAATCTTGGCATATATAAATGCAAACAAACATAAGATTTTAGGCTTCCAAGGATAGTGTCATAAGAATTTTAATCAGATTGCTGACGAGACGAGCAAAGAAGGTCAGAAAATTAGCATATTATATGTCAGAGGTATATTATATTATATGGAAAAACCTTTTAGATATTCATATGCAATAGGCTTGACTAATAGTAGCCAACCTTCTTTAAAGAAACCTCTATATTATGCAAAATGTAATTCGTTATAGATTTTGAAAAGCACAAAGGTAAATTGAAAGATATTTATTATTATAACATGTTTATTAACAAATATACAAAATCGGGAATGTATCACAGAATCGCTCGAACGATTGACTCACAAAAGGAAAAGGGAGGGTTACGGGACTGAGTATTTTTGGACTAGATAAAAGTTTAAATTAAATTGATTTAGGGGGCTTGGGGAAAGTGAGCGCCATTAGGATGGAAACCGTCCTTGTCGGCGGTGTATGTGACTTCGTAGAGGATACCATCGGGACCGTAGTAAGAGAATGCCCCGCGAACTTCGAGAGCTTCAGCATCTGTTCCAGGGTTCGTCAGTGCACCGTTCTCGGACGCTTGGATGCCGTTGGAGGTCTCAAAACTGATGGAACAAGTAAATTAATTAAAATCGTAAATACTTTACACTTATGTACACCAAGTATATAAAATGATTAAAAGAGAATTCTAACATTTTATCTGATCACAATAATTTTAATTAATCATTTTAGGACATAGTTAAGGCAATTTTATTTATTGATCTTATAGAATTTTATAGGGGTTTCAGAACATACCCATAGCTGTATCCATCTATTCCGATGTTGTCGCTCTCGTAACGGACGATTTGAGCGTCGCGATCGTTGGTTTGTGGGGGGGCGGCGAGGGCGGTAGCCAGGACCAAAGCGAATACGATGAACTGTGAAAAATCCAAAATTAATATCTAGAAATCCAATCACGAATTTTAAACACCAATTGACTAAACACTTATAAAACGTACCGATTTCATTTTGAAAGGTTTTGTTGTGTGTTATTGCAAAGCAATCGAGAGAATGATGCTCTTCGGTTGAAGATTCTGGTATTTATAGAAACTCGAGTACCAGGCAAGGACGCGTTGTGACATTTGAACTCAGAGGCATCTTCGGTCAAATCTTCTTTAACCAAATGCTCTTTGATATGTCCGGTTGTGGTCTAGCATTTAGGTTTTTGAAGGATAAAAAACTATTTAATTATAAATTTACTATAAAAAAAATTATGATTGGTTTCACTCGAGGTTTATCGTGGGTTGTATATATAAGTATTACATAATATTTTATGTATAGTATAATAAAAATCTTTCATAATAATATGGTTTTTTTTAATTAACATACTATGCAAGTATTTTTTTTAAATATCTTAACATACGTAACATTATAAATAGGCTATATATAAATTTAATTTAAAATGTAAAATCATATATAGAGTGATGCACTCGTGAGCAAAACCTTAGGTGTTAGATGGTTATATGACATGTGTGATATTTAAATTAATTTCAATTAATTGTAAATGCCTTTCACTAACAGGTGATAGGTTGAGCGTACAGTTACCTATAGCTTTAGTTTTACATATTATAAAATATACTTTGACCCACATCTTAGAGACGCAACATATACAATACATTTTAATATTGAAATATTTAAGGCAGTGGTAGCCAAGTGGTAACTCGTTTGCTTGGGAAACCGAATGAAGCGGGTTCAAATCCCGGGTCTCGCACCTAATATGTGAAACCATTTCTAACATGATTCCACTTGCCTAGTGATAACGGAAAATATCGTGAGGAATCGCACTTGGCCAGCGTGGTTGGACTATGGCCTGATTAATTATGAAAAATTACTGAAGTATAATAAATTTAGGATTTTCTAATAATTAATTAGCCCTACAAAAGAATCTAAAAGTCAAATGCTTATAGTAACTATTTGATATTTTAATTACGTATTAAAAAACGTAGGTATATTATATTTATTTTTTTATTATTACATGATTTTATTTAGAACAATTATTGTTGTATGTCTTTTCAACAAGTAAAGTTTTAAAGATAGATTTTTGAAAGTGGTCTTATCTTAATACTTTCTTAGATTTACGCGAATACTTGACATTTTTAATAAAACTATCTTTTCGGATTTTTTCGCGAATTTATTTTGATATAGAGATCTCTCTCTCGTCTCTCCCGTGACCATGGATGCTGTAAAGCATTCGAAACGTCGGGAACCAAAAATCAAAATAAATTCGCGGAAAAATCCGAAAACATAGTTTTATTTAAAATGGTCTTATCTTGTTTTGATATAACCCGAGCTCATATAGGCAAAAAAATCATAATCAACTTGACTACCGCTTACTAATACTATGAAGGAAAATGGTTAGGAAGTTTGTATGTATAAGAAAACCTAACTAGTTTTTTTTTTTGTAATACGTGCAAAGTCCTTCAACCTGCATTTACTAAATGAGCATCGCAAACTATGGCATAGGCCCCTTTGGTGTCATCGCTGTATTTATTTTAATATTAACAAAAACCCAAATCAATGATATCAAAAATCTGCCCGTCTATGATTCCCGTGATGCTGAATTAACTATTATTTTGTCTGAAAAAAATAAAAGGTTTCCGCGGATTTTTATCATATTAAGTGACATGACAGCAACGAATATGTTCAATTCGAAAATCTTTTTTATATTCGCTTTAATACTTATCCAAGTTTAGAAATTGGAAATGTAAAGTTAGAAGCACAATTTAGAATATTAATTATCTGATATTTCATTTTTGTTATGATCCCACGCGGAGATGAACCTTTATCAGTTCTCCTCATTAAGTAATGATACCTATTTATTAAAGTAATATACGTACTGTGCATTTCTCAATTCTTAGTGTTAGACAAGACGGGTTAGAAAGCAGAAGTATATACAGTATAAACCTTACATTAAAATAAATATCATCCCATATCTATATAATATAAATAGGCAAAGTCTCAAATAGGCAGTTTAGCACTTTTTCTCGTCTGTTTTTTAACCGTTTTTTTTGTTTAGTATCTATTGACGAGTTTTAGGTTATCCAAAAAAAATGGAGACAGTTCGTTTTTGTATAGATAGATATATTCTATTCATATATATTTTTCTAACATTTTCAATAATGATTATGGTCGAATTTCGAGGACTTTATAATTTTGTGTGAGCGATGTATCTATTTCAGAAATGTAACTGTATAATGAGGCAGAACACCCTAAGACCTGCATCATGTAACGGGATAAAAACTAGCACTATAATTTAGTCACTAATAAGCATACGTAAACTGGCTACCCTCCTCGAGTACCATGGTTTTTTACCATTAAACTCAATCGAAAATATATTGTTGTTTTACATAGATTGCGTTCGTGACACTATCCGCCAAATAAATTTGCGCACCTTATGAAAAAGGTAAATTCACCCTTATGTAGTAGTTGTAACATGATAGACGATGTTCAACACATCCTTGTAGAATGTGTTAAACATCAAAGGTAGAGGGAATCAATAATGCAAAAACTTAATATTAATAGATATGATATTAGACCATACTTAAGTATATTAGCGAACCCATTAAGTATCGATGTTGTTAAAATTTTGGTGGATATGGTTTTGCAACATTGAATCTATTTCCTTTTTTCCATAATATTCATGTGATGCTGTACTTAGGTTAAGATACGATGGGGCTGAGATGTCCGAAAAGGATGAAAGTCCCTAAATAAAAATAGAGATAAAAAAAGTGGCTGGCAGCGGTTGGATGCGTAGACCTGAAGATCGAGCTCAGTGGCGTGCCATAGGCATATGTCCAGCAGTGGACGAAAACAGCCTGAATATGATGATGATGACGCATGTTTTGCAAAATTCGTTGAATCTTATCATCATTTTTATCTGTTCCGTATTAGATATAAATATTTCATTATGAAACTACAAGGCCAGACGGATCGATTAAAAATTTAAAGTATAATCCTCAATATGCGTAGGTTGGAAATGTCGGTATTTTTGCATAGAAATTATATAGATCATGTGTCCTCGAATATTTTATATATGTATAACTAGATATTTGGCGAGACTTTACCTATAATTTATGAATCTATCTATAATAAGAGATATATTTGGATTATATAATAATCCATATTATTCTCACTCAATGAATACTGTATGTTAGTATAAAATTCTTAATTCATTATGACCCTAATTAAATTAATGAAAAAGTATAAACTAATAATTATAGATATGAAAATTAAATTTTATGATAATCTCAATGACGATACGTTAATTACTTATAAATATATCCGGTAGCTTTGATGTGGTGTTGTAATAATATTTCACGTTTGATAAAACTCCCTTTTATGTTCGTCTCGGTGACCATAATAGTCAGTACCGTTCTAATATGAAAGACTTAAATGATTCTTTATTAAGGAAACCTCAAAAACAATCCTCATTTACATACTTTATTTCTTCTTCTTCTTCTTCTCGTTTCAATGACAAGAATGCCATCATGGTGAAAGGATTAGCCAAGCAGCGTTAGTAAATTGCTTTATTTACATACTTTATTACTTCTTCTTCTTCTTCTCGTTTACATACTTTATTACTTCTTCTTCTTCTTCTTCTTCTCGTGTCAATGACAAGAATGCCATCATGGTGAAAGGATTAGCCAAGCAGTGTTAGTAAATTGCTTTATTTACATACTTTATTTATCCTGTAAAATGATTTGAAACAGTTAACAGAAATAAGTAAGTTGTCTAAATTCATGAAGACGACTTCATTTATCAATTTCATTGATCTACAGACTTAATTCATAGATCTGTAGAATATCGCTACTTTTTAGTGAAATATCGCGGTCCCACTTATTATTGTTTGATTTTTCATATAATAATAAAACGGGAAAAAACCACTAGTTAAGCTTACTATGTACTATATTAAATCATAGCTAACATCTAGTTCGAGTAAATGCAAAGAGAGCAAGCCAAAAAAATGACGAAATCTCAAAATATCCATAGAAACACTTCATTAGTGACAAATCGAAGGTGTGCCTATCAGGCCGTAATGCATAATACCATCCCACGTATTAAAACTCAAAACAGTTTGTTCAATATCATGTTTTGTTTTAAATAAAGTATAATTTAGTTTATTGTATATGACCAAGTTTACTCGCATTTATTTTATAGTAAGTTTTTACTATTTTTTATAAAGCTATTAGCGACTTAGTCTTGGCGACTTTTTGGAAAATCTTATTGAAATAGACATTATTATAGAAACAGAGTGCGAATCTATAGTTAATCGAATTTTTGTCTGTCTGTCTGTTACCGCATCACGAGAAAACCACTGGACAGATTTTGATGAAATTTGGTATGATGATAGCTGGTTATCCGGGTCAACATATAGGATACTTTTTACTGCAGGAAAATATATAATCTCTGAGAAATCTATACTAAACGTAAAACGTAATTACGAACGAATCCGAATGGAGCGAGGGTGAATCGCTAGTACTAAAATATTTACATACAAACACAACCTTCTAAAATATCTTAGTATTAGATAAAAATGTAAATTAAATCTGTTTAAATATGCATTTACGTTTATTTTAAATTTTATGACAGCTTATTAATTAGATGTTTTGACGGCACGTTTGGATCAGTGACCCTACTTGCTGTGCCAGCGGTCGCGGGTTCGAGTCCCGCTGGGGGCATTCATTTGTGTGATAAGCACGAAAGTTTGTACTCCAGTCATCGGTGTTTATATTTGTTTATTTATGTTTATTGATCCACAAAACAATAAAATTTATGATATATATGTATGTATTTAAAGTTATATATGTGTAATGTATGAACCATCTGGTATCCATAACACAAGCCTCGTAGCTTATCATGGAACTAGATTGTGCTGTGTGTTAATGTCCCAACATATTTATATTTATTTATTTGCTTAAACGTAAACAAGTGTAGACACGTCAGGCGAACAACACATTTAAGAAATCTA